GCTGCCGCTATCCACACCAATAGCTCAGGAAAACAAACACGGCATGTGCACACCACTCTGCCTTCCTTCCCATGAGGCAAGTGCCATCACCTAAATGCTTCTACTGTCACCTGTGAGGAAGGGGTGCAGGCACTGAGGCCACCGTCACCAGTTGCTGCAGCAACTGCCCAATTCCCCACCACACTGGATGATGTGACAGATACCTGCTGGGCATCTAAGATTAAACCTGAGCTTTTGAGATCTCATTGGCAAGGGCTCTGCCACCTCCCTTCCCCATCAGTCACGGACATGGAATCAAATCTCCCTGCTGGATCCTATCAGGTTTCATTTCCCCCTCCTTCAACAGCTCTGCGACCACAACAGAGCAGGGACAGGAACTGGAGTGCTCCCACCAAAGGGAACAGAAACCTGACGAGGGAGGAGAACTTCTTGCATCAGGTGGGTGTTCCCCCTGTTCATGCCTCCCATCCCAATCTGCTCCTCCAACTCCCCTCCCCAGCAACCACTGTACTTCAGTGATGTGCAGCCTGTAGACCTTCAAAAGTATTAAATGCTAGGACTGCCTGAACAAAGACAGGTTTAGAAAAAAAAAACCAACACACACAGCACACACACAACTGAGCTTTAGCTACATAAAGGATCTTTAACAGTGAAGATAGAAAAGAACAGGGAACAAAGTCTGTTTGTTCCTATTGATTCACTGTTTGTTATCCACACCTGGCTATAAAGGGTCACGTTCACCCAATATTTAGCTTCCTCTTGTACAAACCTCAGCTGCCACTTTACTCACGCCTTTTCTCTCCTCCCTCTCCCAGAACACGACAACAGGAAGCACTCCCCATCCAGTGCCACAACACCAAGCCGAGGGACACGTGTGCCAGGAGGCAGCGAAATCACTGCGTGCTGTCTGGGGAAGAGGCAAGTGCCGGGAAGCACGTCCATGCGCCTGGCTGTGGCTCCCAACAAAATGAGCCCTTGTCCCCTGTGGCTTCCACAGCCGTGCCAGAATCAACAAGGAGCGATTCCAGTAGCGCTAGGAAACAGAATGGAGCAGGAAAGAATAGGTTGGGCTGCTCCTACCTTCTGTGCACCTCCAACTCGCAGTGAAGGGGCTGCACGTCGAAGGGACTGGGATCTCAAGAAGGGCACCATCCCAAAAACCTTCAGGCACTGGCTGGGAGATGTGGAAGGCATCTTCTGCAGACAGCTTCTATACACAAAGCATTCAAAAGTACTGCCACCTAATCACTTCAAGGCGAGAGATCTGACAGTCACAGTTTCCAGGGCGAAAGCTCTGCTCCAATTCATCTCCTGCTAGAAACAGCAGGACCTTCCTTTGAAGTACATTCTCCAGCACAGCTGGATAGAGCATCTCTTCCACCCTCATCTCCAGAACAGAACTATCCTGCTCCAAGATGAAAAGAAAATCTGCCTTGGACTGGACAATTCCCCAAAGCACAGAGGAGTCTTTGGAGAGGCCACAGTTTCCTGAATACTTAAAACTTCCCCAACGTGGCCACTGAAAAAAGTCTCATTTCCCACTCTCTCTCTCCTGCCTCTACATTCCTGTGTCCCCTCATGCTAACCCAAGCATGGCAGAGTGGCCATGTGCTGAACAGGACTGAAAAACAAACCTCAATTAAAAATAACAATACAGATAGGGTTGAAAGTAACCAACGGTTTCTGAAGTCCCAGTCTGGCTCACAAGGGGTGGAACCGATTTTCTCAGCAGCGGTGCCTACTTGCGTCCTCCTACAAAGTGTTGGGCCATTGTTTTCACCAAGTCACACTGACTGTGAGGGTGGATCTTTGGCTAAAGGACTAGATTCAGTGGCTGGGCAGTTTGAACAGAATGTGTCCCGTTTCTATCCATGAAGTCCCTGGAAAACATCAAGGTTTAGACTTGTCAAACTTGTATTTCAACAGAACTAAAAATTCACTCCCATTTCTAAAGAGGGAGAATCACAGCCAAGTCTTTTTCTATTTCAAGATAAGCTGGTGAAATCTGGTCTTGGCACTTCAGATTTTTTTTAAACTCTTAACTATACAAGGGAGATGTAGGTAAGTCAGCCACATTTTCAGACAAATTCAAATTCAAAGTGTTTTAGGAACTAGTTTATTTACTGAAAACTTTGGCTTCACTCACCAAGAGTCATTTCCAAACCTCAGTTTTTGCATACTTTTTGTAACGCTTCAAGGTTTCACCGAGATTCAAGCATTCAAAAAAAAACCAAAAAAGTGGGAATCTCCTGCTCTAAGCCACAGTGTGACCCAAAATGGAGAGAAATCCGTAATGGCAAAACTCCAAAGCACTTCTGTGTGCCCAGCTTCCATCTAGCTACACCACAGAACCAACATCCAGCTCTGGGACAGCCAAAACTGGTTGGATTGCGTACCAGAATGCATCAAATGATCCCAGGAAAACTCACCAGAAGGCAGAACTCAGAATCCAGAGGTTTCCCAGGCATCATGAACTCAATGTCATATCCACCACACGCCTTTCATTTAGGTATAGTAACTACCACGAGTAACAGGTCTTACTGAGCAGGAAATGCACACCCGAGTATCCAGGGTCCCTAATCCCATAAAACCACTCCAGAGCACAGGGACTACTGTCTATTGCCCACACCTATAATTAAACTTTTGGATGAGAAAAGAGCCAATGCACCTTCATCTGCTATTGCCTCAGTAATAACCACAGTTCTATTATTAAATGCAGCCTAGGATCAAAGAGGCAGCTGCATTTGGATTCTGGTCTGATTGCACAGCTGCCACAGGCAAAGGGATGGGAAGACGACGGGAAGAGAAAGAAAAATTACAGTACAAAGGATCTAGAACAACAACTAACTAGATATTACTGTGGAACAACATGGATCCTGAGAAAGAAGTCTTAGCTCGGAAGAGGAAGGGTTGCCTGTGTTTGGGCTGGTCCTAGAATTAAAGAACAGAAAATCCAAAGAGCGAGGAGTTGGATGTGACAGCTTAAGTTTTTCCAAGAGCAGGAAAATACAGCCGAAGCAGGGGCACTCCTCCCAACAACAAAAGGAGTTGGGAGCGCAGCGACATGACCAGGCTCTGAGGGCTTCCCCTGGGCCTCACCGGGGAAGCCCTTCTCCTCGGTAGCTGTTATCTGACAAGGGCATCCAGGCCTCTAAGCAGGAGGCTTCCCGCCAAGCACAGCGACGGCTGGAGATTACTGGGGGGGATTGAAAGGAAGATGTGATTGGAAGAAGGAACTTCCATGATGTGCAGCTGATGCTATCATGAATTTAGGTGCTTTACAAAGCAGTTGAAAGGAGAGAAATGTATGCAGAATCAGAGCTGATCACCAGCACCTTGTGATGCACAAGTATCCAGCTACAGCTATTTTTCCACGTGCACCTGCTGGTGTGCGTGAAATGCTAGGACATCTTCCTCTGAAGCAAACAGAACCTTCTTCTGTACCAAAAGAAACAAGCACACCACACAAAAGCACTGGTACTGCCCCAGCGCACTGCCAGCACAAAACAAAACGCTTTCTTTCTCATCTCAGACTCCAGCGCAGGGATATAAATAAACCAAACACGCTTGCTGAAAGCAGGCAGCCTCCCTGTGCCGACCTTCACCACTGGAAACAACACAAACCTCATAAATTCCTGCTAGAGAGCAGGGCAGTCTTATCCACATTATAACAGCACTGTCAGGGGGAGAGCAGGCAATGTGCGGTGACCTGCTGCATGTATTCAAAGATTTTTTTGCACCCCAGTACAGAATCACTTCATTTCCACGTGCCAGAATGAGACCTCTAGAGAGCAAGTAACTTGCCTGCGGCTATACAAGGAGTCTGCAACAGTGGTAAGCAGCAACCCAAAATTACGTGTAGGTCAATACTGAACATTCTCCATTCCTTCTGTAAAACAAACTGCCACAGTTCCCTTCAAAACCAGGAAAAACTGCACTGAAAAACTGCCTTTGCCACAGATGCTCTCTTTGGTTTTGTATAAATCACAGTGCCTTTTCATATCCCTACCTTTCCTTTGTGCCACAGTGGGGCTAGTATTCTCACATAGCCCCTGAGGAGGCATGATAAGCATTGGGTGCATGAGTTCACAGCTCCTGAACATTATCCCTTAGCATTCCTGAGACTGTTGTGTTATCAGCACACACTTGCAAGATAAGGTTTCTGACACAGGTAAGCCCAGCTATTGCTGCAGGAGACAAAGACGTTGATCAGGTTCTTGGCTCTCTCAGCCTTCCAGGTTTCAAGAACCAGGTGATGGTTAAGGCAGGATCAAAAAATTCTATTTACTTTTGCAACCTCAAGTCAGCTTTGCACAGGATTAATCTCAGCCACACTTGGTATTTTCCTTCCGAAAAGCAAGGACACCAAATGCACAGTGAAAGCCAATCTAAAGGGTTCAAAAGAACATTCCCACATGGTAATTCTCTGACAAAGCGGGACTTAACTGCTTGAGAGACAAGATTGAAGCATACAGGATGCACAGACATTACTCTCAAGGTATACTAACACAGGGAAATATACAACAGTTTCTCCAAGCCTCTCTTTTGCCAGCCATGTGCTACTAGCTAGAACTAGTTCTGAAGCCCCAAGAAGTGAGTTGCATCAGCCCAGCACACCCCACCGACAAAGCAAAGGACAGGGGAACTGACTGATCTCACATCACCTCCTCCTCTTCTACCACCCGAAAGGCTCTCCCAGAGCAGCCGCAGCTGACTTCAGCAGAGAATATCCTGACTTGCACTTTTTTTTTCTTTATACAAATGGCAAAATCAATCCAAGCCATCGCTGACTGACACCTAGAAGAAACACTAGAGAATGACAGCAACAAACAGAAAGCAGATCAAGGGATTTCAGTAAAGAAGCAGTAGAGCCAGACAGCAAAGGCAGCAGAAAGCATTACACATGATTTTTTTCTCTCTCAGCCTATCGCCATGAAAACAGATTCTGTTTTCATGTGTCTTCCTCAAGCTTCCAGCCACTTCTTAACATCCCTGCTTACCTTGGCCATAGCTTCAGGATAATACACTAAAAACCTATACAGGTTGGTACATGAGCATGAGGTTAACAGAAGAGCCACCATTACTACCGGGAACAATATCCTATGATTAAAAATATCTTCAGAAGGTTACTACAGTCAGAAAATTAAGGAAGGCGGCAGCAGGAGTTAGAAATGAAGGAAGAATTTGTTCTTTCACCACACACACCCTTTTCCATTTTTTAGTCTTCATCATCCAGAGACTCTTTATGGGTGAGCACTTAAGAATGGCCCAAGAGCCTACACATCTTTCAGACCCCAGGTTTCCCTTCCACCGTTGTTTCACCACAGAAAAGATCTTAACTTGGAGTGGGTGGAAGAAACAGGAAGGCTTAGGTAATACTCACAGCCCAGCTCTGATAAGCAACCCTACCATAACAAACCAGAGCAACTGAACCATACACTTTGCCTGAACAGGGTTCCCCCCACTCCAGCTTTGAGAAAGGGACATCAGTCAAGTCTTTGACTTTATAATGTGCGAGAGTGCTGAGGTTTACATTAAGAAGACGTCTTGGTGCCACAGATCCACTAGCAGCTCAAGGGGGAAGAGAGAAGGAAGCTCTGAAGGCAGCAGATTCTGAGCATGACAAATTCACCTCCAAAAACAAGTACTTTTTTCATCTGATAAGGAAAAAAAATGCTATGCTTTCTGTTCTCCACTCCATGAAACAAGGAATTAGCCTTCCCTTGAAGAGGACACCTGGTACCTCAGCTTCAGGAGACTGAAAACACAAGAATTGCTAATTTTTTTCTGGCCCCTACTCATTCTGGCTAAAAACACCCATCAATGCTTTTGACACCCTTCCACATCTACGGCATGACTGGCATCAGACCCACACCATCTCCGGGTCTGAAGAATGTGCTGCGGGGAGCCTCCCCCAGCATGCAGCAGCTGCCCCTCGGCCTCCTGCTGTCCATCGCTGGAGGCTGGCATGCAGGTGCTGCAGGCCCCCAAGGACTCTGCTTCCAAGGCCTGCCACTCCACTGTCCCATCGCAATTTTCATCTACAGCCCCATTCATCACGGTGAACTTGAACTCACCCAGGAAACCACCCTGTATTGCTGTTGCTTCACTGGAGCAGGGGGGCACATGTATCCGTGTCTCCTGGGCTCCGAGGACAGACCGGTTAGCACTGCACACGCAGCCCCTGCCAAGAGTCTGTTCAATCAAGGGCAGGACTCGGTCCTAGCAAACATGTTCCAGGAAGACAAGGCAGACCATCACTCTCTAGGCATCTCTTTGGCAACCCCTTGCTTTACCCTCCTTCTAGAGTAGCACTTTTTTTAGGTAAAAAGTGACAGAAAGTCTTGTTTCCTCCTCTGGAAGCCCCATCCCAGCCCTCACCCTCTCCTGTTCTTCATCACCCAGAGCGCAGCTGGATCCCAGTCCCCTTCAGCTCTATAAAACACATTTGTTCCTTCCACACGATCAGATCTTCTCCTGCAACCAGGAGGTGATTTCCACCTGTTGTACAACTCCCAGCACACTGCTGTTCTCAGCCACTGGACACTGAAAGGTTTCTGATGGCCAGGTCATCCCTTCATTCCCTTCTGCCACATGGCCCCCCTCTGTCCACCACAGATGGGCAGCTCCCCACCAGCCCTGCCCGCTCATGGCTGGTACAGAGACCAGGCCGCTGTGCAACATCTAACTGCCCACCATTTGTGATCCCAGTGTCCCACCAGATAGGACTCTGCTCCTCTTACACCACAGGAGAGGGATGAAGCTAGAAAACACAGAGGTTTTAGAGCAATTCCAATTCAGCTGCCAGGATCTGGAGGGACAGAAAGATCTTTTATTTCTTCCACATTTTATTCCAGAAGACTTTCCTGAGTACCTCAAACACAACCACAACTCACCAGTGACAATTTTAATGAGCCAACTTCTCACACAAGCACCTTGCTATCTGCCTCCTCAAGCTCTTCAAGGAAGGACAGTCCCCCCAGACCTGCTTCTTTGGTTTACTTTTCACAAGCAGACTGCACTGTTCTGCATAACAAGTCTGCCAACTCAAATTCACCTCACAAGGACCTCTCCCTTCCTCCAGTTATCCATCAACTCCCATTAATCTGCCCTCCTGGATAATCAGAGTAAAGCTCTTTAAGCATGTAACTACGACACAGCAAAGCCACTCTCTGGCTGCAAGCTGCATTAGAGGGCACGGGGACCCTGCAGGTAATGTAATTGGGAATATCACACTCCAGAGCCTCCGAATAGTCCATTTATGGAGTCAGCTCCCCAGAACAGGACATGAGCACTGCAGAAAGGGCACTTTTGCTGAAGGAGTCTCCTTGCACACCCAGGGATACCTGGCTGATAGCAACTCACTGCAGTCTTGAATCAAAGCATTCCCTCCCCCAAGCACCCTGGGCATTTTCTCACCTAATTTAAGCATGACTTTGGATGAATCATTCATCCCTGTGTGGAAGGCAATCATCTAGAGAAGTGCGAGCAGCATCATCTTCCCATCCTTCCCTGGTAAGTTGTTCAGGTCATTGGCATCCATACCATACTGCAGCTGTCACAGTCGCTACACTGGGATGCTGAGGGAGAAGCCACTCGGACATTTACCAAAATACAGGCTGCTTTTCTGAACGTTATCCATCCCCTGGCAGCACTCACCTCTGAGCAGGAACTGAAAAAGAGGCTTTGGCACCCGTTACAGGAGAAGCCACACTGGTACAACACGAACCAGTAAAAAACAAAAGCTGCTGCTAGCACCCATCAAATACTATGAAATTAAATTAAGGTGGCAAGGAGCTGCAACATCCTTTTGCTTTCTCTCTTGTCCCAGAATCAGTTAGATTTCACTAATCTGTGCAGCCGTAGCCTCACTCCTCATCCCCCTTTACGTGCAGTAAGTCACAGCCAGCCCACCAGGCGCACGAAGTGGCTGCGAGCAGGGGGGGCTTTTCCAGCCCGCCTGCCAGCCCAAGCTCTGAGATTTACTGTGAGTTCAGCCAGGAGTCTGGCAAACAAGGGTAAAGACACAAGTTTTTGCATTTGACAGTAACAACTGATTTTTGCTGCCACTTATGCTAAAAACAAAACGAAACAAAATGAAGTGGGGGTGATGGAAAAGCCTTACCTGTTAAGAAAGGGCACTAATATTCAGGATGTGATTACTTAAACACAGACAAAAATCCCGCAAGTGACTTTCAGAAATGACCAAGACGTACTGTGAACCTCTTTGAAACTGCTCTCACAACAACAAAAAAGGCCAGTACCAGTGAGAAACTGGCCCAACACCACAGCAACAAAAAGCCGGCCGTGGAAATAGGTAAATGAGTTGTTTGATTTAAACTGAAATCTGAGTAGAAGCAAAGATCTAGCTTAAAAATCTGTATTTGTCCTTTCAAAAGAAAATTCGTGCACCTTCTCTGTTTCCAATATGAGCCTTCAGAAGAACTGCTTTCCACAAGAAAACTGCCATACTGGCAGCTCAGGAAAACACACAGTACATCTCCAGTATGCAAGAGCTCTTTTCCTCAAGGTAATTCTACAGCATGTTTACAAAAACACAAACATAAATCCCCAGTTCTCTGGATGTTTTGCAAGCATTATCTCTCACCACCTTTGCACAAGGCAAATCAGTTAAGCAGAAAGGTTTTCTTACATACATAACCATGGGCTCATACCAACCACCTCCTCTCCTACAGAGAGACAAGTCAGTCTTGAGCTGGTGAACTGACTGTGGCCTCCAACATGCGCACAGCACTGACCCAAATCCTGACGTTCCAGGAATTTTTATACAGAGACAAGTCAGTCTTGAGCTGGTGAACTGGCTGTGGCCTCCAACATGTACACAGCACTGACCCAAATCCTGATGTTCCAGGAATTTTTATACGAAGATTTTAGCCCCTTGACTGTTTTCAACATTTTACATTGTTTCTCCCTCCCCGTCCACACACAGGTTTTGCCATTTAACTTCTAGTATCGTTCAAGTCTTAATTAAGTCACAATTCAG